TGAATTGCAGCGGAATAGCTGCGCTTGATTGTGTTGGCATAACAAAAATGAAAATAGTGGAAAATAAGCAACAAGAATTAATAAGGCGAACTTAGCACAGTGCATAGGCAACTGGCTGAGTCAGTGGGATCGTCGGTTCGAATCCTACTAAAAGAAGACTGATGAGGAAATGTGGTGATTTCCGAAATAGCTATCACTTCTACCATTTTTTCAAATTATTGTTGCTTTTCCACAATAAGTTTTCACTAAAAACGGCCTCAAGCTCATAAAAATTGTTGAATATAATTGTTATAAGGNATCTGAGGGGACTTTTTTCAAAAAGTTCTTTAAGAAACTATTTTTATTCATAAAAAATTCCATTTTTGGAGGTATTTTCAAATCGGTCCAGCTCACTTAATTCTTAATTTTTTTCCGAAATATTTTGGCGGACGTCTTTAAATATTATAAATTTTGTAATCCTGGCGGAAAAATCGCAACTTTTTTTGGTGATGCAGTCTAATGTATATAATTCAGATGAACGTAGTTTTTCGTACAGAAGATTGCAAGCAAAAACTTTCCTGAGCCATAATTCTTTAGTTTCTGTAATTAAATAGGCAAAACTTCTTAACTATTGTAGTGTTGTGTATAATATAGAATTTAATGAAACATACCAGTAAATACATAATAAGAAATTCGAATTGGTGTTTAGAACTTTATTTATAAGAAACATATTAAATAAAGACACATAGTTACTTAACTTTAACTTTTTTCACACTTTACTTTTCCCAATAACTTTTGAAATTTTTGATTTGCCACTAATAATTTTATTTCGTATAGCAGCTTTGCTTAAGTTGTTGTTTTTGACAACTTATTTGTTGGTTAATGACTGCAAATAGTTTTATACAAAATTATTTATGCACCTGACGTACATTTATATAACTAGTCTACAAAATAAATGCAATGTTACCTCAGAAGACATCGGCTTTATAAGGGACTTGAAAAATAAGTTGCTTTATTATTTAAAAACAGTTGCTGTTGAAAACTAACAGATTTGCTCAAAATTGTGCTTTTTTTATACCCGCCAGCAAAAGAGCTCAAGAACTTTACCTCTGCAGCAAAGGTACACAAAAGAGAAATGTTTACAAATTATGAGAACGATAACTGAGAATTCTGACAGTACAACAGAACCACAAATTGCGGTTACACCTTTGTTACCTTCAGACAACTTTGAGCTGTTTTCAGGTCTTCTTAAACAACCTACCTTTGTGAGCAGAACTGATAAAGCTACTGCAGAGCTGCGGCGATATGAAAATATTGAGGTATTTTTTCATACGGACTTCGATATAATTAATTGGTGGGAGGTACACAAATGCGAAATGCCGCTGCTGCATAAACTCAGTCGTAGAGTAACAGCCACTACTTCAACTAGCGCATCGTCAGAAAGAGTTTTTTCTTCTGCTGGAAATGTTATTTCTGACAAAAGATGCCACCTTTTGTCAAATGATGATGCCCTTAATCAGTTGATATTTTTGCATTATAATATGCAGTTAGGAAACCAATAAAATTAACAAAAATTGCCTTTACAAATGTTTTTTCTTTGATGCTTTCATTACAGCAGTTATGCCATGCACCTGTTTTTCAAATCAAGCACTTGTTATTTGAATCGAGCACTTGATAGTATG